TCTTATTTCTGTACTTACCCACTGCACTTCTTCCCTATATGGAGAACCCAGCCAGTCACAAACACATGCATACATTTGAGAAAAGCCACCTAAAGACAAACAAAAAAGGACACTAACCATTTATCACCGCGGGGAGCAAGTTCTTTAAAAGTTGATTCACATATGCTGATGGGAAGCTGTTTTTCTCTCTCCTTGGCACTTACACTATCCTACAAGCACAGTATGCAACTAACTGAACCTAGAGCACATTCCTTTATAATATACAGCAGGGCAGGATAAGGCATAAAAATAGCATCTTCCCACACTGCTCAAAATGGCTCTTCATTCTAACTACACCTTAGGACTAATTATATTTTTCCAAAAAGCAAATCCTACACCAGAAATAGAACTAAGCTTCCCTGTACTGGTGATGCCAGAAACTGCATATTTCAGCTGAAAAAGCACACACACTCACCACATGGTCCTAATTCTCCCACAGTTTGACTGTCCCATAAAGTCTGGAGATGAGCCAGCCTGTCCGGGGGCTCCATAATTACTTTCTTCATTATTCTCCTATATGCAAGAAGTAAATGCACATATGAATTCGAACTCATTCAACTGTAGTTTGCTATTTCATACTTATGTACTTGAACTGCAAGCTTCAATGGGATGATGTCCCATGTCTGAAATTTAAAGGAAAGGGTGAGCTGAGATGGAAGGTCTGCTGCCTCCTTTCCCATTAATCACACTTCCTGCATATCATAATGCATTTCTAACATGGTGGACCTTTAAGTAATTATCCCTCAGCTAACATAAATGTCGAAATTCTGTTAGATTTAAGAACTGCTCAAACTGTATGTATTTTATCCATATAAATCCCAGAGAACTCTGCAAAGCCACTTTGCAGTCTCTGTGATCTCATCTCTGTGATATTTGCAATCATCTTATTATCTGGTTACTTTTGATACTTCAGAAAAGTTATTTGGAATTGTTTACCTTACTTTGGCTATGATAAAATGAAACATCTAGTAATTAAGACTGCACATAATGAAATCCTGAAATCTTCACTGAAACAGCACTGACATTTTTTAAAGTTCAGTATTTTCCAAACCACCTGATACCCGGAAGCTGCCAAAGAAGGTATTGTATTGGTATCCTGCAAAATAACAGCAACTATAATAGCTGCACGACTGGACAATGCCAGTTGTTCCCTGGATAGATATTATCTCCCACCCGCAATATTAAGTCTACTTTGTTTTCATAAGGGTTGTGCAGTGCTTTGGATTTGAAAGGAAAACAATTGCTTTGAATTGTGCATAGATGTGTATTGTACATAGTACCTGCTACTACCACCTTAAGGCAAATACCTCTTTTCCTGGGAACATGCTGCACTTGTGGAAGATAACCATGCAATTCTGGGGAAAGATGCAGTTGCTTTAAAGAGTAGCCAGCAGATATTACACGAGTGCCCCTCCATGCTGCAAAACACCTTTTTCTATTTGAATTAAAATGTTGCATAGCCCTTATACCCCACCACTTCTAAGTGGTTTGAGTCAATACATCCTGGTATATTATACCAAAGAATACTCTGCTGTATTTTTTTGCCAGAGGGTACCAGGTGGATACAAAATGTATTGAAGCCCACTTCATTCTATCTTCATTGGATAAATTTAATAAACATTCTCAAATGTTATTCTAGAAATGTGGAGAAGACAGAACAGCATCATTGACATACACAAATACAACATGTGAGAAAGAGAGAGATGGAGTCTATTTTTCTAAGCGTTTATCCCAATGAGTACCTACACTGGAGACAGACCAGGGAATATCCTCCTAAGGCATGTTCCAATATGTGCTAATACTTCATGAACATCTTCAGATGAAGTTAACTTCATAGAAATGTTGCACTTTTCAGTTTCTACAATCAGCTGTATAAAAAATGGGAGAGACATGAGGTAACCCTTTATATAACCCTTAAAAATTGCAAATATATCAGTAGTGAACATTTAGTAACTTAAAACCAATACATTCAAAATCAGTTACAATCTATGTTTCTCTGTCTGAAAAGAGGAAGGACTGCTGAAGCATAACATGGGCAGCTATATGATCTGGCATATCTTAGGCCAGAGTCACTTTTCTGTCCCACTCTAATTCATGGCTAAACTGCAGTTCAATATCCCCTGGTATTACCAGGCCATATAAATATTTGAATAAACATTATTATAAGATCTCTGATTTACACATTCTGTAAGTTGCTTTTTCAACCTGCAGCACTGTTTCCCTGGAATCTTTTTTCATATGGCAGGACGTCACAAAGGATCTGTGCATCTGTATGCTTATTAGGCCTGTGTAGTACTTTGGATTTGATTACAAAAAGAGGCTTTGGAACACGTAAGAGTGTGAATTTAGTATCTGCCTGCAGCTCTTTAAAGCAGCTATTTCCCCCCCCAGAACCACATGATGGATCTCTCAGCTGCCATGTGATTTCAGGAAAAGATCTAGCTGCTTTAAAGATTTGCAGAAAGATATGACATTCATACTTCTGTTCCAAACCACCTTTTTGTAACTGAACTTGAAGGACTGCACAGCCCTAGTGTCAGTGCCTGTGAGGAAAGGGAGATTGGTGCAGCAACCCATCTCCATATATTTGAGACAGGAATATGCTCACAGATCAACACTGTTTTTATTTAACTCCTTGGGAAAATGGAATGAAATGGAGAATGCAACAAACCCTTTGGTCACCTCAGGACAAAGGAAAACATGGAATCTCTCCCAAACTTCAGTATGTCCTCCCATTCCTAAAGGAGATGGAAGAGGAAATGCTTTCCTATGAAGTAAATATCTCAGAGTATCCCTTCTGAACTTAGGAAAAAGTTGTAAATAATCCACTCTTATATCTCCAACTGATGTTCACTAAACATGCAAGATCATATTAACACAAAAATCAAATATCAAACTTAAATATGAGTGTACTACTTGATATCTCCTATTGATTAACTTCATGCACTTTCTGCTTCCTTCCCTTGTTGTCTGGTTTGTGAGTATAACTTTCCTGGGAAACAGCTTGTGGGGAAACTACCATTTAAAACCATAATTTAAACTTTATTTCCAGTTGTGGTTTGTGAAAACCCTGGTTTGCCTAGCTCATATGTACAGTAATAGTAAGCCACAGACTGCTATGATCTAACACAGAGTTGTCCAAACTTGGCCACTTTAAGATGAGTGGACTTCAACTCCCAGAATTCCCATGGCTGCCATTGGGAATTTTGGAGTTTAAGTCCCCTCATCTTTAAATGGGCAAGGTTTGGCAAACTCTTTGTTAATCATAATA